TTGTATTTCCCCATATTAGAGACCAATAAAAACTCATACATTTTTTAGTATGTTATTATTATTATTATTGAAAATAGGCACCCGTCCATATAATATGGACAGGCGTCCACCCTTGTTATTTTATAATTTAAATTATGAAGGGGTGTCCATTCAAGGTGGACATACATCCATAGGAAATGGACTCCCGTCCATATAATATGGCTAGGAGTCCATTGTTATTTCGATATAAGAATTCGTCCAGATTGATGGACGATGGTCCATTTTTAATGCACGGCCGTCTATAATTGTTGGACAGTCATTCATTCGTGATGAACGGTCGTCCATCAAATATAGACGGGCGTCCATAATTGTTGGACGACCATTCTTTCATGAAAGACGAATGTTGTCTCCAACGTGGCTGTGTCTAACTGGATGCCACGTACGTCAGTACAAAAATTCGGTGTAAATTATCGGTACCGTTAGCATTATTCTATTTCTAAAGAGTCAAAACCTTTTACAGCCTGCAATTTTCAGTAATTTACTTCAACCCCAAGATTTTTTACTACTTCACATAAATATAAGAGAAATTAGTAAGTGGAATATCATGTATGGTCTATTCTATACAACCTAAATACCTAATCTCTATAAATTTAACTTGAGAAAGGGTTAAAATAGTCTTCCTAAAGAATTTCTTTAAAAAAAAATATAAATTATATCATCTTCCCCAACAAATCATATATATTCACGTGTGTCTCTCTAAATTCAAAATTTTACCGATTAACCCTTCAAAAGTTGACCCAAAAAAACACATCCAATCTGAAATCAATAATTAATTACCAATGTCAAATCCAAAAATTAAAAATAACCAGCAAAACTAATACAAAAATTATCATTAATTGAATAGAAATCGGTTCATGAAACCTGAAATTACTGAACAATGGACCCATCAGACCCGGAATACATGGATAAACATGAGGCAGATATCCATGGAGAAACAAAAAATGTTTGAGAAGTGACAAGTGTCGATTGCATTGAATCCTCCTCACCATTATATAAGTTCTACTTCATCATAAGGAAACCCTGTAAGTGTAATCAGAATTAAACAAAATGACAACTGCAAAATTTCCCAGATCATTTGTGGCCAGAAATTTTTGGGTCAATGCTATCCGCAGATATTCACAAGTAAGTTTAAAACTCTCATTTTCAGTGAATTCTACATTATATTATACATAATTAGTGACGTTCTAATCGATTTTTAATGTTACTGGATGAATAACATGCATGGTTTACGTATTTTGATGTCTTATTTGTGAATTATAATATGATATTGAAGAGGTAATTAAAGGAAATTAATTATGTCCAATCACAGTCCCAAAAGGATGAAGAGATAATAGACGCGTGCCAAAGAGTGAAAGAAGCGGCGGATGCATTTAAAGAAGGGGCAAAGGTAGTGAAAAAGACTAGTAAATATGTGAAAGACACGGTTGCTGTTACTGCTGGAAGTGTAAGAGCCGAAACCATAATCTGATACATATTTACATATGCTATAACAATATGTCAATGTGAGTGATTCAATTCATTTAATTGTTGATTTACTAATATTTCCAATCCATATACACCTCTCTAGCCAAATAAAGCCGTTTTCCCCATTTTTCAAAAATGAAAAGGAACACTACAAAAAGACCCCTTAAATTTCAGAAACTACTATCGAACCCCTGTTGTTAGAATCCTTTATTCACGACCACTTCACGTAAAATTACCCAATTCGTGTGGTGTATCATGCAAAGTGAATCATACGATTATGAGGATCCACCACGCGAACTTGGTTTTTTCGCGCAAAGTGGCAGTTTTAATTGTGTTTGAAGTTTAATTTTGCATTTTATCATAAGAGATGAACACCACGTGAAGCGAAAAAATCTTTTGTCACTTTGTGTGAATAAATATTTTAGAATGTAAACCCCCAAGAGGTTGACCTAACAGTCAAGAATGTTTGTTATCTTCATTAACATTGTTTATGGAGTTAATTGAAATTTTCTCAAAACGTAAATTTTTGTGCGTTGTTGAAGGATGGGAACAAGGGCATTTTGATATTTAAAATAACATATTTGGCTTGAAATTCGAGAGTTGGTCAATTATGTAAAACCCCTCAAGTTTTGGTCTGGGAAATTCAGGTGAACAAAATGACTGAAGAAATCGCAGATAAAGCAAAGGACTTCGTCTCAGATGCAACCAAGGCAACCGGGGAAGCCATCAAGGAAAAAATTAAAGACAAGTAAAATTTTGTATAATTTGTTCATCCTCAAGATCAACAATACCTTTTGTTATTCTGCAATATCTTCTTAACTCACCTTCAAAATTTTCTCATAATTTCAGTGGTTAACGATTTAAGTTCATTTTATTCTCTACATTTAGCTTCTGATGTATTTTTTTTTCCTCATTAATTGATGTATCGAACGTGACATAAGAGAATAAAGATCACCATTTCAATCTTCCATGTCTGTATTTGAATCTAATAATCTTGAAATGATCGATACAAGGGAATTCAATTTTAAGATAATTTAGTTAACTTCTAAAAAAACAAAAAAGAAAGCTAATGAAGCTTCTAATAAAAAAGGTCATAGTCTTAAATCTTAATTATATCTTGATCATATATATACTTAATCATCGTTAGGTTCTTACATATCTACAAAATATTATTTCAACAGATATTTTAATCTAGGATCCTTGGAAAATTAATAGCAAAACTTTTTATCGGATAATTTTTGTGTGTATATATATATCTCTCTTAAAAGAAGTTAATTTAAGAGGGAATTTTTTTTTTTTTTTTTTTCTGTTTTCGGGGACATATTAGCATCCTCTGATTCCTAAAAAGGATACAATTCATGTTGGTGGGGAAATTATGTGTATAGAAGCATCTTGAAAATGATGATAGCATATGGGATTAATTCTTGTTAATAATAAAATTGTGGATTATTAAGCATGGCGTATAGATAGCTAATCATTCAAGCAGTACGTCGTGTAGTTTTGGTTAACTGATTCAAAAAAGTCCTTGGGAAAATACCCCATCAGAGAAAAAGGTAGATCTATCAGTGAAGAGTTGTAATGAATTTAGGCAAATAAACATGGCTGGTATTGAAACTGGGTCCACGTGAAGTTCATCATCAAAAAGTTAAAAAGTACAACTTCATTTACGTTCTTTCAGCTGTATATCAAATATTTATCAACACAACATATGAGATTTTCCAGGTGATCAGTTGATTGGACTAAACTGAAACTCCAGAGAGAGTTACTGTGTTTGCCCAGCTGGCTATATGCATCAATGGAGATCCATCTTGTGCAATTTCAAGTTGTTTATTATGAGTTTACAGGTTCTTTGTTCCTCCTACTTAAGGCAAACTACTAAATGTTTTTGGGCAAATCTAGATACATAATTCTCAAATTTTGAGTTGCTGGTCTATTTGCTTAATGGCGAGATGTATATACTTAAACTGGAAGTAAATAGGCCCATAATGTGGATCAAGTTGTTTGTGTACTAAAATTAATCAAACTTGTTATTCAATGAATTGTCGGTTCGTTACTTGAAGGACTCTTTACAAAACCTGAAAAGAAATGAGCTTCGTTTCAGTCTGGTCAACTTGAAAGCGATGATTTGTATATTGAAGTGACATTTGCATATGGTCATGGTGTGTTGTCTCAATCTTCTTTACTTCCCTCGCCCACATGACCGCAGTAATGTTTTTTTCCTTGACCATAAAAAACACATTGATTTTACTGGTTTCATAATTCCTCAAGAAATCGTCAGCAGTGAAGTAAGCAAGTGGGTTTGTTTTTTTGTGTATAGTTTAACCAAATCTCAAAAATGAAATTTGCCCATTTACCAATGTTTGGTTTTGGAACGAGATTGTGTAAGAAAAGTGCAAAGGGTGTCCTGGAAGTCATTACCAGAAAGGAATCCTTGAAGACGATATATAATTTACTTGTTTTGGGCACTGCCCTTTGCAAAATTAGGTTCATGTGAAGTGAAACATCAAAAGATTCTGCAAATGCATTGCTTTGTTTTCATGCTGAGGATGCTTTATTCTTATTTGATCAAACTAGAAACTAATTAACACATCAATTTCTATCAGAAGTACACTATACTTTGGAATCTGAAGCAAAAGAAAATAAATTATACGTACAATTAGGTAAAAGCATTTTCTCTGAGACATTATATTTTGGTACTACTGAATAATTAGCATCTGAAAGTGCAGTACTTTTGAAAAAAAAAAAAAAAAAAAGGGTCTGCCATGAAAAATGAAGCACAGCAGTCTACAAGTTTGGAAAGGTGGAGCAAATGAGGAATCAATTCTTTGACACTCATGAGGGCTTTTACTTCCTGGGGAATGATAAAAAGTTAAGCAGTAACAGCCAAACTTCATCATGCAGGCACACCTGAAGGGCATTAGGGACCCAATTTTATCAAGGGCCCCATCTCATTTTTATGTGTCAAATCAATCACTTGATCTTTCTCTGTGAATTATCTTGTCATTGAACTTTTCATCAACTTTTTGTTAGATTCTTTCTATCCTTCCTAAAAATGCTTTCATTTCAAAGATCTCCTCTCAGCTTATCACAATCATTTAACACTCTTCCCAATTCTTTCTTTCTGCCAATAAGGAAAACCAATTCCATGTCTTAACAAATCAAATTGCTTAATCTACAAGGTAATATATATGAGACTATGATGACAATGCCAGTGTATGTTGTTGTTTTTCAACAAATATATAAAGACATAAGATGCTAAAAATAATTACTTTATTTTGATTGTTGCCTACTGTTAGGTTATGCTTGCAATTTCTAAACTGAAACTTGAAAATTTTGAAGGAAGTTGAAGTTGTTTGCATGTACTTAGTACTCCAAAAGCCAAGCCTGCAAGTATTAGCTCTATTTGTTATGCTGCATTAAGTTATAATAAATAACACCCTTTTTTTCTTCTTTACATTAAAAAAAAAAAAAAAAACAAAAAACAAAAGAGATTTGTAACTGAAAAATCTGGTAATGAAACAAACTCCCCCTCTGCTTAGGTGTTAACAATTTAGATTATCACTTGAAACTCATTTTGGTACTAGAGGAAGATGAGTAAAGTAGTGAGGAGGCAGAGAAACTTGTGTTATTGCTTTTCAGATGCATGCTTTGTTGTTTCGATGAAGACGGTGCTGGAATTCTGCTCGAGTTCTTATTTTCTTGAAAATCAGTTGCTGGTGATCCCTTGAGGAGGACATCAACTTTGGCATACTCCTCTCTTTCATGTTTTATCTCTTTAAGCATTGCAGCCACATCTTTCATGGTTGGTCTCTCATCAGGAGATGAACTTACACATAATAAGGCTACGCCTAATGCTTGCATCATTTCATCAATTTCTGACTCCGGACGAGATAGTATGCTAGGGTCAAGTACTTCTATCCCTCCTCTCTTCTGTCTCACCCAATCCACCACATGGGAACCGTCCGGTATGGTTGGATCAATCGGTTGCTTCCCAGTCAAGACTTCGAGTACCACAACACCATAGCTATAAACATCACTCTTCTCTGTGATCTTCATCATGTAACCATATTCTGAACAGAACAGAAAATATTAGTTCAAGATTGTTAAAATAGCTTTGGATCAGTTAATTTGCATATTGAAAAGTTTGCACATTCATATTCAATTGTGGACATGTTAATTTGAACTAAAATCAAGTTGACCATACAATTCTATTAAGCAAAACAGTAGCTATTAGAATAAGAAAGTGCCAGTAAAATGGAATGAGTGAATATTGAACCATCTCATAAATCAAAAGATGCTTACCAGGAGCTATATATCCATAAGAGCCAGCTACTGTGTTGGATGACCGAGCAAAATCACCATCATCCACAAGCTTGGCTAGACCAAAATCAGCAATGTAAGGCTCAAATTCGAGGCCAATGAGGATGTTGTTGGCTTTGATGTCCCGGTGAACAATAGGAGGAACACAATCATGGTGCAAGTAAGCAAGGCCTTGAGCTGCCCCAAGCAAAATTTGATACCTAAGTTCCCATTCCAGGGAGTTTCCAGTCCTCTCATGAAGGAGACTACCCAAGCTCCCATTAGGCATATAGTCATACATAAGCAATCTAGTGTTTCGATTCCAACAACAACCCAAGAACCTAACAATATTCTTATGGCGAATTGAGCCAAGTGTTTTTATCTCTGCAGAGAAGGAATCCCGAACCCCACTCTTTTCATTATTACATCCATTAGTTGCAGCCATTGTTGTTGGCCAGAGTTTCTTCACTGCAATGACTTCCCCATTCTCCATATCAGCGCGATATACAACCCCAGAACATCCTTTTCCTATCACATTGGCATCTACTAGGCATCTCAAAACTTGCTCTACTGAGAAATTCAGCTTCTGGAAAGGAGTAAATTGCCATGGCCAAGAGTCTCCCAACTCAGAATCATCGTCATCTCTAATAGTCCTACGTGCTCGAATCAATGCAAGTGTCCCCATAATTGCCATTGCCACTGTCAGAGTAATGAGCAATGCAATTGCTACTTTAAGCTTCCGTGAGCGCCTCACATCATTTTCATTCCTTGCTAGTCCTGTCCTGCCAACATCACTCGAGAAACATGAGTTCCGGCTTGAAGGGCAGAGGCCTTCATTTCCTGCTAGGTCTGCTGGTGATAACTGTCTAAAGAGCTTGTTGTCGGGGAGATAACCTGTGAAATTGTTGTAAGAGATATTGAGAGATACGAGATTATCTAGCTCTGCAAGTGGATCCAAATTTCCCTCAAGCTTGTTATGTGAAAGGTCTAAGATGGAAAGCTTAGTCAGAGCAGATATCTGAGCTGGGATTGGCCCAGTGAGTCCATTGCAGCTGAGATTGAGAGCTATTTCAAGGGCTTCCATTTGACCAAGCTCCCTTGGGATGCTACCAGTTAGTCCATTGGCGCTAAGATCAAGCAATTGGAGACTTGAGCAGAGGCCAAGAGATGAAGGTATCACTCCAGAGAAGGAGTTCTTGGACATGATTAGGTTATTCAACGACACAAGACGCCCCAAGCTTGCCGGTATTTGGCCCCCAAATCGATTCACTGAAACATCCAGGACTTGTAGCCCAGATAATGATGACAATGAGTTAGGCAGGGGACCCTGTAAAGTGTTGTTGCTGAGGTCTATCATCTGCAATTCTGTGCAATCACCAATCTCATCCGGCACTGACCCAGCAAGGCGGTTGCTTGATAGATCAAGAAAATTTAAGCTTTTGAGACCCCCAATTTCTCGAGGAATCCCACCAGCAATACGATTATTTCCAAGCCTCAACCGCACAAGAGATCGGCAATTGCCAATTTCTGTCGGTATACAACCGGAAATGTCATTGGCAATCAAGAGAAGTTTTGTGAGGTTTTGAAGCTGAAACAACCCGGCAGGAATGCTACCAGTGAGTGAATTGTGAGATAAGTCTAGAGCTTGTAGACTGGTACAACTAGCCAAACTTGAAGGAATGCTTCCTTCAAGCTGGTTCTGCCAAGCAAAAAATACAGTAAGCTTTGACAACATCCCAAGCTCTGGTGGGATCAACCCTGAAATCTGATTTGTATCTAGTTGCAATTGTAAGAGATTTGTAGCATTGGATAGATTGGAAGGTATTGAACCAGACACATTGTTATTACTAATCATAAACTCTTCAAGCTCCAAAAGGCCACCTAAACTCAATGGTATAGTCCCAGATAGGAAATTTAAAGAGAGATCAATCATCTGTAGGCTACTACAATTGCCAATCTCTTCTGGGATAAACCCAGCAAGACTATTTTGCCACAGAAGCAACTGTTCAAGCTTCTGAAGTTTCCCTATCTCTGGAGGAATTGACCCAGAGAGAGTGTTTTCATACAGAAACAAATTTACAAGCTCAGAACAGTTACCTACAGAAGAAGGAATCTCACCAGAGATCATTGTAGTATATATTGACAATGTTTGAAGCTTGCTTAGTTTACCCAATGAAGCCGGTAAAGAACCTGAAACTCTTGTGTCAGCCAACCCCAAAACAGTCAAATTGCTGCAATCTCCAAGCTCACCAGGAATCTTCCCCACAAATTCTTTGTTCCCTCCAGCTCTAAGCACTTCAAGATTTGATAATTTCCCTAACTCAGGTGGTATATTCCCGCCTAAGCGATTATCAAAAAGCAGTAGATTCCTCAGGCTTCTACAGTCACATAACTCAACTGGGATTTTCCCAGTAAGCTGATTAGAGTTAAAAATCAAGTCTTCAAGGTTCTGTAGCATGCCAAGACTTGAAGGGATGGAGCCAACAAGACTGTTTGAGCTAAAATCAAGAACTTTAAGTTCAACACAATCACCAATATCAACTGGGATAGTTCCAGTGAGATTTGCATCAGAAATGACTAGTTTACGGAGAGAGCGAAAGGAAGAAAGGTTGGTTGGTATTGGCAGTTGAAGAGGGACAGACTGCATAGAAATTTCTGTAACAAAACCTTGTGGAGAACACGTTATGGAGGTCCAGTTGCATGGATTAGCATCAAGAATGTTCCAGTTAGAGAAAGAAGATAAAGGTTGTGAAGGAGAAGAGTGTAGCCATGAAAAAAGAATGGAGACTTCATGGTTTTGAGATGCAACAGTGAAGGTGGTGAAAAGAGTAGAGAGAATAAGAGTGAAGAAGAAGAGAAAGAAAGGCAAAGAAGAGACGTTGTAGAAGGAGAAGAAGGAGGAGTGCCTCGAGCTGGGCATCGACATTTGCCTCAATTTCCAAACTTTTCTTCTCGGGTTTGCATCATTGAGGTTTTTGCTGTTTTTCTCTCTTTCTCCGTGCTGCTGAATATATTTCTTGCTTGTTTTGAACTCAAAACTCAAAACAACCAGCATCTCACAAAACATAAAACACACACTTAAACAAAGTAAAACATTAAAAAAAATCAAAACCAACGCCTTGAGATCAACAAAAAACTGAACCCTCCACCTCCACCTCCACCTCCACGACCTCACTACTCCTTGGATGCCTCTCTCTTAATTTATATATATTTTTTCTTTCTGCACATTAATATTTTTATAATATAGAGACATTGCTACATGGTTTCACGCGCAGGGATGAAGAGACACAACCTCTGCCTTCATTTACACATGTAATTTGTTTAACTTTGTTGCTCAGTCAGAAAAATATAAACAGAGATTAATTACAGAAAAAAGAAAAAAGTGCTTGATTATTTAACTATAAAACCATTTTTTAGCTGCACAAACAGACACTGAGCTTTACTCTTTTCCCTATTTTGCTCATTTTGGAAGCTTTCTGGGTTCAGTTACTCTCATTCGGCTCCTCTCTGGCACCCATTATTTCTATGCAACTTCTTATTTAGTCTTTTAGCTTCAAGCTTATGCATATTCTTAATTTTTTTCATAGAAAATCTGGGAAAATAGTGAAATATTTGGACCATTTATATACCAAATTAAGAGGGTAACTATTTATGGATCTATGGTTATGATGAGTAAAGTGTTATTTTGTTACTTATTTTGGGCAAACGACAGCTTTCCCACCTGAAATAAGAGAAAATATATCAATGATTACAGAGGAATAAATGTTTTTTTTATCAGTTACATTAGATAGAGTTCGGCTTGTACAAGCACTCATATTAAGTAGAATTTTACAGAAAAGTTTCACCAAACCATTAATGGTATCACTAAAATTAGATTAGTAGGTGGGTTTATTGTATTTTTCACCTGAAAGATCGATTAATATTAGACTTATCTGGTTCGTTTACAAAGTATTTAAAAAATACTTATATTATTATCAAAAACTCTCATAAAAAATACAAAAACCCCTTAAAAATATTAAATATCCCTTTATAAAAATTATCGAAAATCCCTTAATAAAAGTATTTAATACTTTTGAAACAAAATGAATGAGTAAAGGATTTCACCAGAGAACCCATTAATAGGTTAAGGAATGAATGAGAGAAATTTAATGGCTTTAAATAGAGAGAAAGTTTTGCGAAGTGCGTGACTGTTCATCTTGTCTTCTTCTTAATATTGTACACTTTACTTGCTTTCGTTGAGACCGTATTCAGTTTTGTGCACACAACCTACTTCCACTACCTAACTAAATTTCATCTTACTTTTCATTCAATGTCTTCAATTTTTTGTGCCTTTATCAATCCAAAGTCAAACTAATATTAAATATATATTTTGGATAAATTTGAGACTTAACTACATTTTCCTAAGGAGGTTTCGGTCAATTGGGTTTATATTTGCCACCTCAAAGTATGGGTTTGCAAAAGAACTGGCCTAAACCGGAATCGAGATCCGGGTACCCAGACTAAATTGTAACTTTTGTAAATTATTGGGGGTGTATTTATTTAATTTTTAGAAGGTTTATTTGTCATTTTTTTTAAATATAGGGGGTAATTAAATTAATCTGGGTAACCAGAATCGGAATCTATGTTTCAGATTTCGGTTCCAAATCCAAGGAATCGGCCGATTCCGATTCTAATTCTTTTGAATTTTGGCAAGTACCTAAACCTGCCTACCCCTACTTCAAAGACTAGGAAATTGTAGTTTGTAAAATCCATTAATTACAGCTTTAGATAGTAATGTTTTAATAAATTATTTTTTTAACTATGCAATTTATATAATAGGTTTAAGGATTTTTTTTTTTTAATATTACTGTTTAGGAGTATTTTTGTCATTTAAGTTTTAGGTAACGAATTTGACAATATGTGTTAAAAGTAAGGAGAGTTTTCTAGTATTTAAAACGATAAAGACGAAGAGATAAGAGAGTAAAACCAGAGGCATGATTTGAAGAATAAAGATATGATGATGTATGGCAGCAAGATATTAGACCATCTCTGAGTGATTTTAGTTAAACATAATGCGTGTGTTTTGCCTGCATTACAAGTCTGACTCTCGTAAATGCAAAATTATCATCACAAAATGTGATCGTGGATTGCTGTTTCCGCAACCACCAAATGCCATGCGCCCTAAGGCCTGCCTTATTATTTAAACCTATACATTACATTTCTAGTATGAATAATCAATATTAATAAAATTCCTTTTTAATTTGGGTTTTAAAATGTGAATCTTGTATGTTTGACCTTTTTTAACGAGTATTCGCAAGTTTTTATAGTAAGCACTTGTTAGCTTCGAAATTACGACCTTAACCCCTATTTTTTACGAACTATTAGGTTATTGTATTTAAGTTTGAAAAAAATGGCGTTTTTACTATTCACCCAAATTAAATGAATCTAACAAAAAAAATTGTTAACAATATTAAGAGATTAATATATTTTTTGAAGGTTTTATTGATAAATATGAATGTTGCATTGATGATATTTTCGAAACTAAAAGATGCTCACTATAGAAAAGTCAAACACACAAGATTAGAATCGTATTTCCAAAACTAATCGGATAATTATTACTAAAAATCAAACACGTGAATTTTTTTTTTTTTTAATCAGAGTATCAATCAATTTACGTACACCTCAATTCATATTTGAAACTCATTGAACATTCTACAAACTCAATATTTTAAGAAAACCACAAATATAATAGATGATATTAAAATGGTTTGAACCAAACACATCGATTTTACTAAAAAATAAAAATAAAAAATAAAATACAAAGCCTAAAATTTACTTGTAATGTAAACGCGTCAAAGCCCGCACTAACAAAAGGGGGTATGGGTAGCATATGATTTGATAAAATATAAGTGACAGCTGACAATTAAGTAAGTATAAGAGCATCCTTCGAAAGAAGAGAAATAGGTCATTAAGGCGCAGATCGCCATTAGATCCAATGGCATTTTATTTTATTTAAATATGTTTACAAAGCATAGTCCAAAAGTTTTTAAAATGTTGATATAATTTGTGAATACAATCTCTGAAGAATTAAGACTTTAAGGAAAATACCTGTATTAAAAAAAGAGGAGCATCTTACATTAATTATATGTGAGTCAGCAACAACATTCAATTCAATTGGGGTCCATTCCATTGGACTGGTCAAGATTATGAATTTCTACTACTAGTTTGCTATAAGAATAAGAATAAGCAGGTTTAGATTTAGCCATAGCCCAGTTTGCAATTAGGGAGACTGGTTTTGGTGATTTAAAAATGAAATAACACAGGAGGTTTATATAGAGTATAATGAAATGCACATAAGTCAATCTGAACACCCCTCATAAATAAATAAATAAAAAAAAAAAGTATTACAGGAAGCTCAAGATGAAGAAATCAAATGACAAAGAGAGAGAGAGAGTGAGAGAGGTCAAATGGGTCAATCATCAAAAGAAACAAACAAACAAAATAAGGTAAGTGAGAAATAATTAATATTGAAGACTTTTGGACTGAAGTGGAACTTTACCCACAACACATCCCTGATTTTGAGGCCATATCACGTGTCTTTAAGAATCCATCTTTTCTGAAACACTAATTTCCCCTAACCAAACACAAACAAATCCCTCTTTTTATTTAATAACTAATATTTAATATTTAATTAGAGTAGAACTTTAGGACCATAAACATAAAGGGCCAAATTAAAAAAAAAAAAAAAAAAAAAAAAAGGCAAACGGCGCAGTTGGCTACAGAGCCCCCTGCTTTAAGGGTCGTGGCCTTGGGAATTTCCCCAATGGAATCTACACACGTTTTTGTTTCCGTCACAAGCCCAACCAAAGCCCATTTCTCACCTTTCTTTATTTTATTTTTAAGAGGAGGATTAGATCAGAAGAGGAGCAACCTCATTGTTACCTCTCATTTCCAGCCCTTTGATTGTCTACTAATTATCATAAGCCCCGTATCAATTATTTTCCTACATATTTTATCATTTGTTTATTTACCTTGTAACCCAAGTCATCGGGTGGTTGAGGTCAAGGTTGAGTTCGGTTTTGTTTGATGTACTCCAAACCGAACTGCAAAATATTCAATTCTGCATTTTTATACTCATATAACTGGAATGGAACCAATATGTTAAGAGTCGGTTTAGTCTAGGTCGGATTTCGAGTCCAGGTGTGTTTTGCACACCCTTACCTATAAAATCACATAATATGTAGTGAATATTCCATTATTGAAAAGTTTTCAGTATTCATATCAAAGAGTTTTTAATATTTCTAAGAAGTTTTTGATATATAAAAGGTTTCAACAATAGTGAAAGCATTTGATATTACAAAGACAATAAACTATAAAATTCCATCATATATTTATTTATCAATATTCATATAAGAAATGTTTCACTTTAGATTTATGTTCGTATGAATCGAAGATGAATTATTTTGTTAAAGTAGAAAATAATTGGTGAGAAGGAGGAGGTGTTGGGGCTTACTATGAAGGCAATCGCGTGGAATAAATTTTTAAAAGGGAAGCTGAGTTTTTGAAAGTGATCCAAGGTTGAGCAGAATGAAAATTGAATACTGACATCACCAATATTTTTAAATATCAAATCACTCACCACAAAATAAAGGCCTAGGATGGCTGCTGACATAAGACTATCAAATCTAAATAATGACTAGTCAATTGGAGTGGTTGTTCAATTTTCCTTTAACAGGTTGGCCCAAGTTCTTCACATTTGGTTTAGGGTCCATTTGATACCGGTTATCAAAGAAGAGTTTATATATTAATTTACTAAAGAGGATTTTTAATAAACAAGAAAATATCTAAAATAGAATAATTAAAAAAAAAATCAGCACTTTAAATAAACTCAAAAATAATTTATGGGATAAGTTATGTAATAGCTTATTTAAAATATTATAAGCACTTTTGATATACAACCAAATTGTTGAAATTTATAAGCCCGGATGGCCCAGTCCACTTATAAATGGTTTGGTCTAGGGGATGTCGGCTCAATCAAGTATTGTTCTGAAATCATATACTTTCTTAATGAATAATATTTTAATTATATATATCGAAACAAATAAATGAGATGGAGCAATTCTTGGCCATTGCAGTTTCAATTCATAGTAATATTCTTTTAAGCAACAAAGAGTCCGAGTTTAGAAACTTACGCCATTGTTTACTTTGCTCCTTAAAACGGTGAAATGGACTGTAGACTCCCATTCCACCGTGTACTTGCACTAAGGAGGTATTTGTCTAAGCTTATAAGCTGATCAAACTTACTTTTTATAAGCTGTAAAATTAAACTGACATGTTTGTTTATAATTTTTTTGAGCTTATAAGTTGAGCTTATAAGCTAAAAAAAATAAGTTGGAGGGGAGGTACTTTTTTTTTTTGGGCTTATAAGCACTTTGCTTATAAGCTAGTTTGACCAAGTATATTACTATATTATCCTTATTTAATTTTAAAATTCCATAGTATGACATTGTTTAATGTAGTATATTTTTTAGTAATTTTATAATAAAATATACTTATAAGCCACATTTTACCAAACACGTCAATTACTTATCAGTCACTTATAAGTACTTTAACCAAACACGTAATTGCTTAAAATTTCAAGTGCTTATAAGTTAATTTTAGCTTATAAGCAATTGTTGCTTATAAGCTAATTTTCATAAGCTCAGACAAACACCCNTAGCAATCGAGAAAAATCGAATTTAAGATTTCTTAAGTAATACACTCAAGAGTCCTTATCATTTCATCCAATCATTCAAGGGTGGTTGAAAGGTAAGGACATTGTGATGCTAAATTATAGTAAGAAACTCGAAAAGTTTCCAAAAAGCCTAATCAAGTCTAAATATTCCCTTCTTATTTTTCTAGATATGAATTATTGACTTAAAAGCATTCAACATCATTGATAAGAAACAGAGAAAAGAAAAGAAATAAAAAATAATTACAACATTTCATACTTCTAATAAGAAAATACAATTTTATTACAAATAAAATATATTTTCCAATTTTTTATTTTTTTTTTATTTTCATTTTCTAATATACTTTTAAAAATAAAAGATTCACATAAAACCATTGCAGCTGCCAATATTTTTATCGAGTGTTAACCAAACCTTTGCTTAGGAATCCCAAACAGTCGCTGCAACTTGGAATTGGCAGCTCTCCCACGCTTGACTACGGAACCCAATGGCGGCGGCAAGAGCACCAGGAATTGTAATTTCACGGCCGGTCACTTTCGTGACAGGGAATGCCAAGAAGCTTGAGGAAGTCAAAGCCATCTTGGGCCAGTCCATTCCCTTCCAGTCGCTCAAGCTTGACTGTAACGAACACTCTCTGTTATTTTAAACATATTGTCTCGCTTTCTCTAATTAATTATGTTATTTGTTTTACAGTGCCTGAATTGCAAGGCGAACCTGAAGATATCTCCAAAGAGAAGGCTCGTTTGGCTGCTATTCAGGTACTATTTTATGCATAACAATATCCCTATTATTTTATACGTTCGTAGCAGAGTAAAAAGTTAGTTCTTTTATTGAATGAATGAGCAGGTGAATGGGCCGGTGCTGGTGGAAGATACTTGCCTCTGCTTCAATGCCTTAAAGGGTCTTCCCGGTATGTCTTCTTTTTGTCTTTTAATTTATGCTCTGCACACAACCACGCAAGGTCGCAAGCTTTTTTAATTGTCAAATGACATTCCTCTTAGTTTCTTTTTGCAGGGCCTTACATGTAAGTTTGTATTTTATTCTTGTCCTACTCTTGAGGTGATCTTCTGTTTTTACTCTCTTTATTCAAGTTTTTGTATTTACTTCAATTGAGGGATTTTGGCATTATAATAGGATCACAATCATGGAAATAAAATCAGCTCAAATTGATTAAAAATGGGTGTGGTTGATGCTTATAAACCATTTCTTTCAATTAGTATAAATTGGAAAATGTATATATATATTTTTTTCAATTTTAAGGGGAAATTTTTATGTGCTGGCAAATGAAGTTTGGATGAATAGTATGAATGTTTACTAGTTTAAATTGGCTATTAATATCTCGACAATAAATCTGCAGTATTTAATTTCAACTATGATATTTGTATCTCAACTCTGTAAAGAATTTTTTTTTTTTTTGTAGCGAAAACTCTCCTGACTTTATGAATGCTGAAATAAACGAGCAAATTTATTTTCTCATGTTATGCACTATGATGTTCTGAGATATTGTATTAATTTGCTTGTGGTGATATAAATTAACTCTAAAAAAAATCTTGTACACATTTTGTGGTGAATGTTTAAAATTTTAAAGGTAGATTTTAGTGGATTCATATTAGAAATTTATAAGGGAGAATTTCTATGGTCTTCTATAAGGCCGTAGGGGATAAGGGAAAAGCTCTTTTGATTTTTATCAAATTTGATTTTTACGTTTTAGTATTGTCGTCCCCAAATTGGGTGCAATTAGGTTTTGTCAACATGGATGCAAGAACAATTCCTAATGGTTCTATGGCTTACAATAGATGGGAGTCCTTGTTGTTAGAGCAACTTACCAATAACCTGGAGCCTAACTATCTGATTGAATACTACTATTCTAGCACGTAGAAGACATAATGCTTACACTAACGTGGTGGCATATATTTTTCTTTGGATTTTTTATGGTTGAATTTGCTACTTCTATTATCTCTTTTGGTCTTTATGTTCTCTCCATCTCTAAGAAAGCATGTTTGATTCTGCTTTCTCGTGGAATTAATTGTAAACTTAACTATAGATTGGCACAGAACAAAAGGTTTTCTCTCCTAAAATTCCTTATATGATCCATAATTGTGATTATTTTCATCATTTTGTCTTACTTCTCTTCTCTGGTCCTCAAAAGTGCCACAACAATTCAGTAGTTATCTTGGGCTGCTGAATAGCAGAAGTTGGAATTATGTGTTAGAATGCTTGAAGGAAGAATAATGATCTGCAATTGCTTTTGCTTTTCTTGATGCATTATTAATAACTTAGATTGTGATTGTAAACAATTATACTGTGATGTCATAATTCTTTTGAGATGTTCTTATTTTGATTAGCCAGTTCCCCCATAGACAATGTATATCCAGTACCCCTGTGTCAAATTGGTTTGCCAGAGAAAGAACAGATTTGTGGAACATAACTTTTTCAAAATTTATTGGATTTTTTTTTTTTTTTTTGCTAATATTCATTAGATCCTTAGATCATTAACTTTTATAGTTACATGATCTCGATGAATCAGCAAGGTTTTAATGCTAAGTTTCATAGTTGTGCCATGTTTGTGCTTTAAGGACGTTTTTGACGGAAAGATCTTTTCGATGCTTGAGTTTTAAGTTCTCTCTAGGTTGTGGTAGGAATCTACCTATTCTGTACCTTTTTCTTCAATGCTTCCTTCTCCTTTTAACGATGAGATAATTCTTTTTCTTCTCTTTTCAGTTCTTTTCTTTTTTTCTTCTTGTAATAAACAAAGATAATAACTAAAAGTTAGAAAATATGTTTTCTTGCCACTAATTATAGCTAGTCATATTCTTTTATAATATCTTTTTTCTTTCCTTAAAAGGTTATTGTACATATACTTTGCTAATTTATAATCCCTTATATCTCCTTTGTATTCATCCAAATGTAAAATGAAATGAAATAAAATATAGACTGATACTTAATCTTGATTTATTTCTCATTATCACAAATTTTGTTTTGTGGATCAATTTTTTTGGTAGAATATGGTATGTTATATATGGATCACATTTATTGGCTTTGAGTGAAGTGCTACCTTCTGACAAAGCCTATATATTAAGTGTAGACGGAAAATGTACGGGGATTGCTATACCCTTTTTGCCCCTGTCTAACTTTCTTCAACATTTAATACTTCCATCTAGGTCACTCATTTTCATCTTTCTAATAAAACAGTATTGCTTGGTTTAATCTTATTTTTAAATGATGCAGCAAGTGGTTCCTGCAGAAGATTGGTCATGAAGGTTGTCACTAGCGTTGTTTTATTTTCTTCCTTCTCATATTTTTTTCAATGATTTGGTTAAACCTCTGTGTATATCACGTATTCTAGGTTTGAACAACTTGTTGATGGCATATGAAGATAAATCAGCTTATGCATTGTGTGGATTTGCTTTTGCTCTTGGACCCAATGTTGAGCCTATTACATTCCTAGGAAAAACTCCGGTAGGCTTTTATGAGTTTTTTTTTTGGCTGTTTTCAAAGCAACATTTATGTGTGTGTTTGGATACATGCTTGTAAGAGTAATACTTCTTTTCTGAAGTGCTATCCTAAAATAATGTTTGGCCCCACTAAATTAAGTTTTGAATTTTTTTTTTTTTCAATTTGTATGATTTGTTTTTGAGGTATCTACCAATTAAAAGGTATCTAAGGAATTTTCCAAGGCCTTAATAGGTTCAGTCTTCTAGGTTTTGATTTTATAAGGTTTGGTTCTATAAGTCGGCTTGCTTGTTAAACTAGTTAATTAGAACTAAAATAATGTTTGTCCTACTGACTTGCATTGAAACCAAGTTTATTAGAGGAAACTATACATATGAGCTGTAATCACAAGTGCAAGTTTTTTGGGCAAAATTTCAGATTTCAATGTATTTTTCTTTTCTATCTGTTCCTCTAGTAGGGTAAGTTTCCACCATATATCTTACCCCCAAGTTTGCTAAAGCTGCAGAATTTAGATTTCCAACTAATTTTCAGCCTAAACGTGACACTTTTATGTCCATTCATACATGTAACAACAGTTTCTTGCCCCATGGTATGCCAGAAGCTAAGAAGTATACAATGAATGTCACCTTTTTATGAATTTATTCTGATTTTTGTTTAGGAACTTTTATTTTTTTGATAAGAAACCATAAACTTTGTATAAGTAAAAAGATGAGCAGATTGTAGGAAAGAAATTATTAGTTAGGAGATGAGATTATCTAGGTTGATACCAAACAATAAGCGATCTCCTAACCAAAAAGGCTGCACAGACTAGCTAAGAATCTGTATATTTAGCTCAGGTTGATCTTTCAGCCTTCTGTCAGTTTGGGAAGATTTCGGCTAAGTTTTCGAATGGAAGAAATAGCTTGATACAATGTATTTCTAGATTTTGACGCTTAAATGGAAATTAGAGCTAGGATTTTCAAATTGGTTGTGTTGGGTTACCTCTTGATCAAAAAGTTTAAGCCAATAATTAAGAGCCTAACAATAAGTTTTAAGCTCTAACACGCTTCTTATTTGCAATTTGTGCATGGTTTGAAAACGCTACAACCACAAATACAATTATAAATATAATTTGATTAAAAGAATGGAAGAATTCAAACACAGAACCACTTGGTCAATCTAGTTCTTAAACTATTGAAATAATCACTTGACTAGAAGCTTAAGTTAATAAGTAAGTGCTCAACAATAGCTTTTAAGCTTTAACTAGTTGATTTAAGGTTAATTGGAGATTGATACAATAGGAGTTAGGTTTTACTGAAGAAGTATACTTTCTGTTGTTTTATCTTTCCTGCTAAATAAGTTGAGAAATAGTGCTTCTTTTGCACTACCCATGGCTGATTTATGGGTTTAGTTACTTAAGTAGGTTGAAGTACTTAGCAATACTGATATTTGCATCAGTAGCACTAAAATGTGATTTATGTTTGATTTATAGGGAAAGATAGTTCCTCCTAGAGGACCCAATGATTTTGGTTGGGATCCAATCTTTCAGCCTGATGGTTACGAGATAACGTAAGTCAATTCTTCCGCTTTCATTTCTGTTGTTTTGTCTTGGTGATTCATTATTTCGTGCTAATGGTCCATAAGGATAAAGCGAAGCTGTAGATATATTTATGTTGGCCAATTTTTCTGTTTTGGCAGATATGCAGAGATGCCAAAAGAAGAGAAGAATAAGATTTCACATCGTTTCAAGGCTCTTGCTATGGTAAAAGCCCACTTTGCCGAAGCAGGATATACTTTCCAGATAGACACCTCTATATAAAAGTAAGCTATAGGACAGACAGCCAAAATCATTTCCTTGTAGTATTAAATGTTCTTTATCCCCATAATCCTGTTGTGATTGGGGCAATAGATGAAAGGAGACCTTCACAATATTTAATGCTTTGGTTGCATATAGAAATTTGGCAAGCAGCTTCAATACATATGTAATTCCAGAGTGAGAAGTTTGGAAAACCTTGACGTTAGCTTTGTAACTACAATTGAAAGGTGTTATCATTTTAGAGTAAAATCTTTTTCGAGTTGCAGAATTTCAACCTGAAGATGATTGGTGTGAACCTTGCCTCTTTTTTTCTTGAGTGTCATGTTCTCTGGTGTTCCATTTTTCCAACTATTAGCTGTTTGCATTTACATACATAAGTCAAAATCAAGTAATCAATTACCATTTGTATACACATGAAGATATTCCCACATTTAGGTCAAAAATAGCTCAAGTTTCATGTTAAATGTCACTAATAAACTGGCTCTTTACACTTGGATTTCACAATTCACACCCAATTTTATATTATTTATAAAACGTGTTGTTACATGTTTTTTGTTTGAAACAAGGGCACGAGGGTGAAGTGTCGAATCTTTGCTTTAAATGCTGAAACTAAACTACTTTTAAGTGTAATGTAATTTTTGTCAATTTTCCCCATCTCAATGACCTTATAATCCGGAGACATAGCATTGAAATTACTCTACATTCTTTTAAAGATCTCAATACCATTATGATTTTGGTAAAATAAATTTTAATCCAAACTTAAATATATTCCAGCGTCAGGAACAGATCGGAAAAAAGCATTAATGTGGCTCATAAATGATACGACAGATGAATTCATTTTTAGTTGCGTATGGCATGCCCCAGAACCAGAAGATTGTGATATATCCTTGTTTAAAAGATTTGCCAACCCTACCAAAACTAGAGTGTTAATGTTTATAGTAGTTTATTTTTAATATCAGGTGTCACTTTTTGCACCACCTTCTAAACATTTTTAAGCAAAAAAATGCTAAGGCTTTGGTTAGGAGATAAAATGAAAATTGGGGTGTCTGTTTACAGTTAGGCAGTTGCCTCATAGTATCAGACAGTTGGGAATTTACACAGGGTTTCAAGCCAAAATATGTTCATTAATTGACAATATTCTGGGTAAAAGCACAGGAGTGAAATAAATTTCTGGGTTGACAAAAAGGTTCCTGTAATAGTTTTTGCCGGCAATGTTTATTGTTTACAGCTATGATATTTCTGCAGAGTCATAAAGACCTTTTGTCGAGGCATGGAACTTTACTTATAAGGCTGAAGATTTTTAGTGTGAAAAGAATAGAAGAGATTTGGAGAAATGCAGATGGAGATGGTGAATGCAGTGCAGGGAATGAGACTGGTCCCACGGTTTGCTGGTGCAAGAATGGCTCACATGATGAAGGGCCCCAATTACACATGCAATGTCATGTGAATTCATTCATCAAGAATTAGGCCTCATTTACTGCTGATGGTTGGATCATGTATCATTCCAGTTTGTTCCTTAAATTTAATTGTTGTTGAGAAATAAGTTTGGTTTGGTAGGTGTGTGCATTTTAATTTTAATCCTGTCAATTGGAAAAGGCCAAAAGTCAAATATGAAATCACTGTTTTGGAATGAATAACCTAATGGAAAACACAGTGGTTGAAAAAAGTTTCCAAAGGGCGAATTGGATAGCATCATTTTGGCTAAGACCATAAAAGCTTTGAAAGAAAAAGGAGATGATGTTATTTAGTTGACAACTTTATATCATGTGGGTGTGTTGGATGCGCACATGAAAAAAATCACAACTGCTGCTGCTACCATAAAGAAACATATTATAGAAATAATCACAATTCCACAAACCAAAAAGTAAAAACAAAAAACAAAAGCTCAAAAGAGTAAAGGAACATCACTGATATTGTCTATGCATCATTTTGGAACAAAGTTTTTCTTCAAAGACTCAAGTTTGACATTCAATACTATTGCTTGTATGACTAGACACAACAAATCACAAAATCATTCAGAACCTATAAACCCAAAAGACCAAGAAAAAAAGAAGAGTATGTAGAGACCAAGATTGAGATTGGACACAAATAGAGGGGCACATGTAGTTAGGAGGAGGAAATGGCAAAAAAGGGAGAAGGAATAATATCAGCAACACTTCCGCACCTGGAATAGTACTGTTTGTTTTTCAGTTGAAACAGGCGGAGGTTGAGCAAACGTGGTTTGAAGGAAAAAGGTGGGAATAATATAAATGACATGTGCAAAAAATGTACACTTGCCAATATATGTAATAGAAGATAATTGATTGAGAAACAATTGACAGAATGGATATGGGATGATTGATGATACTATATAGTAGTAAAATTATAAAAAGGAAAAAAAATCAAACAGATATTGGTTGGCCTTTTGCTTTGGCCAATTTAATTGATTGAGTACAGCTAGGAGCACTGTCGGCCTCTGCGGCAGGAAAGTGCACCAGAACCAGAAGTCATGGACCCAACCATTGCGGAAGACTTGGCTCCCAAGCTTGAGGCGCGAGCATAGCTAGCGGAGGCTCCTGCCCCAGATGGGGTGAAGTAGGCACCATTCAACAAGAGGTCTCCCTCTGATCTCCAATTCCAGCTCTTCCACTGGCTCGATTCGGTGTCCACCCTCTTTGTTACCTGTTGAGGCAAATTTAGTTTAATCAGCAAATTGAGTTTGTGATGTTTATTGTAAAGAAAAAGGGCAATAGAGTTGAGAGAGGCAATACCTCCTTGGCAAACGGATTAGTTGGAGCAGCATATCTGTTGCCCTGGCTGTTAATGGTGGGGTTAGCACTACCACCAATGGCATACATTTCCCAGTGAGTATAGTCATTGTTCACTACATGGAAGTACCCATGTCTACATCTTGGCATTCTCTGAATCAGTCCCTTCCCAAAATGGTTGTAAGCAATTGTAACTTGCATATTTTTGTCTCTGGTATAAGAATCACTGTGGCCCAGCAACATTACCTGCATTTTACCACATAAAACAAGATTTATCAGCCTCCTTTCTGTTTAAGTTAAATTAATCTGGAATGTACCCAAAAATGTTACGAACCTCATTGTGGTGGGTTAAGTGATTATTTGAAATGGTAATTGCAGTAGAACCCATGACAGCATCAACAAGTCCATCAGCACAGTTGGAGAGTGAATTGTGATCAACCCATATATGGCTTGACCCAAAAATGGATATGGCATCACCATCAGCCATTGTCCTCCAACCATAGTGACTAGGGGAGCTCCTAACCAATGCATTACCTGTGGGTTTGCAATCATGAATATGGAGACCATGAATGATGACATTGGTAACATATTGGATGGTGATGCACCCTCCATTAGCAATGTGTACATTCACTCCACGACCATCAATGGTCTTAAAGCTATTCATGATCAATTCCTGTTTCAATGTGATCACCATGTCCCTCTTGAACACAATCCAGAGAGGTCTGTCCTGGATTACAGCATGCCTCAAAGTGCCAGGTCGGGGGTTAACAGGATCGTCATCAGTGTGGTCAGTGACAACATAAAAGCGGCCATCACGACCACCGATGGCATTCCTTCCAAAACCAATGCCGCAGTCCGCAAGGCGTTTGCGATTCTTCTGCCAGTTAGGGTCACACCTCCAGCAGTCATCAATAGGATTACCAGTCCCACACGAGAAGTAACCCAATTGCCTCCTCTCAGTGCTGTTGCGGATGCTCCTACAATTCATCAAATGCACTGTTGTTTTAGATCTAAATTAATTTGAGGCTCCATACGTACAAATTGATACCAGTTAGAATGTCTTTATCGTATTAAAAAAAAAAAACTGTACAGTTTACAGTCTTGTACAGATAAGATTGCTACATGAAAGACAAGTAGTTCTCCAATGTGGTATGTGTCGGTGGAAGAGACTAGACTTCTAGCTATCTAATTGGCTCCAGACAGCCATTACCAAGATCATGTAATGACAAAAGAAGTATTCCTTCTGTCAATTTATTGGTACGATCTGTGTAACGGATTAAATTTCCGTTGCTCTGATATTTTTTAATTTTTAGTGAAAGAGTAGAGCTAAAGAAGTTTCGTCCTTTAGCCACACATGGCACAATCTTGTCGCATGTGAAATAAAATAAAATACCAATATAGCAATATTTATACACAAGAACCATTGACAGTGACATTGACAATCAATTTTGCTCCATCTTAATCTAACCAACCCGTTAATTTCCTTGTTCACGAGTAAAATATTTTTAAGAACTTATTTATGTGAAATTAAAGTTGCACCCTTAAGTACTAGACCGTGAAAGAGACGGAAAATTTTACTTTAAACACGGATCTGTGAACAGTGGGAATTGGAGAGAGTCACTGAGGAGACAGCATGAAAAGCAGAAGAAGAACGTGGAGGAGGATTCCTCCTTTCTCACTAGCCAGTGAAAAAACACAAAACGACAAGGGCAATTCGGAGAAATCACAGAATAAAGAAGATCTTTGCACGGATAAGAGTAAAGTGAGCATTATTGAAATAGTAAATATTGTTGCGAGTTTGTTTAATAATAAATACAACAAAGTGAAGGAGTGAAGGACCACCACCACCACCACCACCACCACCATCTCCAGTACCCTGCCCTCAACTCAACTCAACTGAACTAGAGCTACCCCTTGCCCACACCAACCACTTTCCTATTTATTACCAGTAAATTGAGTGAGATTTTTCAGGTTATGCGTTAAAGAGAGACTCACATTTCAACCTCCGCAGCAATTTCCTCTGGGTTATTCACGGCATGCGCATGCACATCATCGTCTTCACTCCTGAAAACAACCAAACCAACCAAATTATGTAACACATTTTAAATCTCCATTATATAACTAACAACTACCCATTTACTACCATCAAAATTTATTTATATATTTACTTAATTGATCCCCAGCATTTATGTTTGGTTGTTTAAGGTAGGGGACACGTGTCAGTCCAATGAAGCGAGTTGTAACAAAAGGAAGATGGACAAAAAGTACACTGCTCCAGAACGAGGCACTCACTATCCTATAAAAACCGTTAGAAAAGCGCTTCAAGGGAAATAAACTGCGAGGGGAACCGTCGGCCAGAATTACACAAATGACCTCTTAGGAGGTAGGAATAGAGAACAATTATGTGAGGGTAATTAAGGAAATGTGGGAAGAATGGAAGGGTTTTTTTTTTTTTTTTTTTTTTTGTTGAAAAGAATGGAAGGTTTTAGGTCTGTCATAAAAACAACGAAGGAATGAATCCCAAGGAACCGACTTCTAACAATAACAAATAACGGAATAAACGATCCAGATCTAAGGATCCAGATCTCAATGGCTGAGATCGTTATTTACTATTAAGCCGACAAAACAAGACGAATCCGACGGTTACGAAATACTCCAGAGACAAAACCGACGGATCGAAATTTACAAAAAGCCTTAACGTTGGGATCTACTTTGGTAGATGGTAGTCACTTTATTATTTACCTGGCGGCCATTGTTGAGTTGGTTAAGCTCTGCAACTGCTCTGTCTTCACCTTCCTATCAAAATAAAAGGAAAAAAAATACATTTAAGCTTGAAAAGTTAAAACAATATAACTGTAAGGAGACTGTAAAGGGTCTTTCTATGGAAAGACAGAGAGCATTGAAACTCTAAAATGTCGGTGAAAACTGAAAACAGCCATTAATGGCGTCTACAAGTAGCTGTCAATGTGAAGCAAAGAGACTCCATTGAATTTACGAGAATGAAAAGAACATCTAAAAATATTGAAATTTTTTTCTAAACATAATGTGGAATATTTGTAGCTGAATTTTGGAATAAAAAACCAGAGATATAATGGAATCTAAAAGTTGAGTAATGCAGCTGAATTTTAGTAGTAATAACCGAGAAAACAAAAGAGAAATGCTTGGTTCTCTCAAAAACAGAGCCAGACAGAGCAGAGAGAAACCTTGAAACAGAGAGATCATCGTTCCGTACAGTCGCCAGAACTCCGACGAAGAACATTAGAACAACAGCCAAGCAAAGACAAACACCACGTTGAGTAACCGCCATTGCTGTTTTTTTTTTTTTTTTTTCTCTACTTTCCCTCACTTTCTCACCCTCCAAACACACACTTTATAGACTCCTACAAAACAGAGAAGCAGCGAAGAGAAGAGAAGTGAGGTGTACTGAGTCAGGTACGAGCTCCAACAAAACGGCCTTTTTATAGACTCCATCGTTAACGTAACCAAATAAAAAATAAACAGTTCACTCAAATTAACGCCGTTAAGTAACTGTAGGAGTTCAGTTTTTTTACCGTGGTTAGGTTAGGTTTAATCTTAAAAACAAACTAACCCCTAACCACACCACCCGCTTTTAACCACCTCACTAACCGCTACAACCTCACGTGCCAACCCCGTGCCATCATTCCTATTTGGATAAAATCCGAATCCCACAAGATTTCATATAATTACGTATCAATATACTAAATTTGCATAAATTGAGTTAAAAATATCAACTAACTTTAGGGGTTGTAATCGTAGCCTTTTTTTTCTAAATAAATAAATTAAACTAACATCTATTTTAATAGTGGAGAACAACAACGGTAAATGACTACAATTAAAGATAACTAAATAAATGGTTTCAATTACGGTAGAATAAATATAATAAAATTACGGAGGCAGTGAGTTAGTTGCCACGTGAGCGAGGACGTTACGGGGAGATGTCCGTACGGGAGCAGATGTCACGGTTTTCTGCTGACTTTGCGGCATAGGATATATTGCGTGTGGGCGTGAGTATACATATAATAATACAAATACAAAATAAATTAATAAATCACGAGAATTTTATTTTTTAATATTAAATAAAATTACTATTAAGGGAGGCAGGCAGAGTGAGGGTGGTGGGATTTTGTTTTTCCAGGCGCCAATCACGGCCAATAAAGTCTTTTGACCCCAAACAGGGTTCAACCCAACGAACCATTCGTACCTCTCACTAGTCACTTCCTTTATTTATTTATTTTTTTCCTTTCTAAATTTTTTCTTTTACTTAAATAAATTTTCGACAAAAAATAAAATTTGTGTCTACATTGGTGATAAAAAATTGATACTATTATTGTTGTTTAGTAATTTATAATTGTAATTAGATGGAATTATTGTTAAGTGTGATAAATAAAAATTGAAATGGGTTGAATTGAATGTATGTATGATAATTGTTATACTTATACATCTAGAAGTTGATTGAAAATAAAATTTTGATTGGGATATAACTAAGTTAAACCAACTCCAAGTTCTGTTACATCAATGTCAATGGTTGAAAAAGGTTTATAATATATTAATCAATCATAACCTTGATGTGAGAGAATTATTCAAATTTTAATTGTTTTTGTTATCCACCAACTTAACGTAATTGTCAACTTCTGTAGAATATTTAATTAATTTATAACTTTAACATTTCTCCGCGAATTTTTCCATGCATAGATTACAAATATAATGTATATATTCACCATAAATGGAAATTTGTTTTATAATTTTATTTTTAATGATAATTATGTTTAAAATAATTTGGAATCTTCAAAATTTTATATGATTGAATTTATTAGTCAAGTTTTTCGAGTTCGAGTTTTCACGTTGTTAATAGGATATCACGATAGTTTTATCCAATTGTAGTTTTCAAGTCTTGGGATTAATTGGGATGCATGTAAATTGATCGAGACACTCCTGATCATTAAAAGAAAAAATTGATTAGCCACGTCACCCTTTTTTTTTGATTGTAGCATGTGAGTAACAGAATTAGTTTGTTTTGGTTTGAATGCAAGACCCAAAATCTCAAAGCTACACATGTGAGTAAGAAGAAATGCAATTGCATGTGAATATGTTAATACCAAAATAAGTTTGGTTTAATTCATAATTAAAGGCTTGATTCTAGACAACTCAGTTATATTACAAATGCTTCTTTCCACATGGAATTGACGTGGATTGAGTTGGCTTCTAATTCTAAAACCTCGTCGTTTTTATTTCATTTCATTTCTTCCCTCAGATTCACATTTTATTAGCTACTCAATTTGCATTGCTAATAAGACAATATAAAAAAAATTAAAATAAAATTGGATTGGTTGCTTAGGCCATCCACATGAAGTAAAAGGTGCAAGTGGTGACTGACTGACTTTAAGGCGGGAAGTCAAATTTTAAGTTATTATTGTAAAAACCACTGAGATAAAAGATTTTTTTTTTTTTTTATCTTGGGATTTTATATTATTTAAAAGTATTTCGACCCCTTCATTGATTAATAATTGGTTATTGCCTTTTTGGGGGCAGGATTATGTTCGTGGCAACAACCAAGTGATTCCAATCATAGCAGCCACTCACGCTTTGTAAACAATATTTATTTACCATTTTACCCTCACGTTTATAAAGTTCAACCCAACAGCATCATCATCTTACGGAAACAACTAGGACCATTGATTATGTGGACCATTTCTCGCGTGGGTTAGTTATTTTGGTTTTGACTTTTTAGTTAGAAGTTAAATTTCATCATCAATTTATTTTTACAACTATAATCTAATAATTACTCATACCCTTCGACGGTCTAGATTTGGCAGGTGGGGTATCAGAAATCATCCAAAATCAACTTAATCATCATGGTTTTGATTCTTGTTTCCGAAATTAATTGTATTTTGATTATAATACTTGGATAGTAAATGTTATTTAAATGGATTATTTGTACTATCTGTCAATTTCATACTCTATATATTTTGTTTCAAATTTGTATTTTACAATTTCCATCAATCACTATTTGTTTAAATAATAGAGGGAGGCCCACCTAAGAAATCAAGCTTGACACACACGAAAGACCGCAGAAGCAGGGGAGTTTTACTCAATTCCATCTTTACAAAGTGTAAAGCTAGATATTGTTGGGCAGGTTTTGTTAACCAAAATCTGGCGGGTCTATGCTCCATACCTTTTTTTTTTTCTCTTTGCCCAATGACCAAATTTTGTGCTTTCGAATGTTCTCTCATTCAATTGATTTTAACATTTTATTTTCCCCTAAAGTGATTGCTTCTTTATTTTACCGGGTGTTGTTTTGATGGGAAATTACATTAAATAACCCATTTTTGTAGTCACTTGAAAATAAACATGATTCTAAATGTGTCTTAGAAATAACCTATTTTCAAAATTTCAACACCCTTTTGACCAAATTAGTATGCCCTCAAATCCCAAGCTCAACCTAGACAAGCGTTGAAAACTACCAAAACGGTAGAGGCAAAGGAATTTCCGATGGGCGGTGAAATGTAGAGAGATTGGAAAGAACACCACAGCGAAAGCACTCCATTGACTGGTACTGACACTAAGAGACGAAAGCTCTCTTTAATAAAAACTCCAAAGTATTTATCGATTGACTATCGATCCCTTTTTGATAGAAATTTTATCGGTTTTTATCAATAGAATCTTAAAACAGACAAACTTTATTTGATATAACAAATAACCAACTGATAGTATTAGTTGTTGTCAATTCCTTTAAGTTTTCCATTTAAAGAAAAGAGGGGTATTTTAGTGGAATGAGTAATAAAATTTTGGAATAAGATTATTTTCGGAAAGACTTATACAAATAGACTATTTCTCAATTCACACAGTTAAAAAGGATAATATTTTGATCATAATACAAGGACATGTAACGCTGCCCTAATTATAAAGATTATATAATTTATGAATGGGATTATTGGAAGGATTAATTGATGATAAAAGTGGCAATGAATAGAGTCATTATCTGAATGATGAAGAACAACATGGTGGTTTTAATAAAATTAGGTATGTGCTTGAGAAGATACGAAAAAGTAGTGTTATCAAATGACCCCAAATGTTTCCAACCCACATGTGCCATCCCCAACTGATTTCGACACGTATTGGAGATTTTATCCAATCTTTTTGCTGCCTATATTTGTTCGGATAATGCCATGGATCGACCATGCATGTTGTCCCATGTGCATGGTGGAACCCTTCTCTATTTTGCCTATTACTATTCATAATATTCTTTCCCACTTTCTTTTGTCTACTCCAAATTGCGTGTTTTATGTAAATCAATCTTTAAATATAGAAGGATAAACATTTGTATTTAGAATGTAATACCCCAACTGAATTCTATATTCTTAGGTTTATGAACATTAAAATACTGTTTTTATACAACTTGGCTTTTAAGGGTTAATTTTCTTGATATGTATCAATTATTATCAAAGGAGACAACATGAGGGAAGGTCCTCGTTGCACACAAGATAATTTTAGGACAGTTGCAATCTGGTTATGTGTGAATTCGTAATTGTTAGAGATGTTTGATTTCGAAAATGTGTGAATTGTAACAAAAAATACTTTACGGAATTGTCAAAGGAAAAATCGTATTTGTAAACCATCATTGGGTGGTCTGATGGTAAAAGTAAAAGGAAGCTTCATACTCCTAGTTCGAATTCTCCTATGCACTAATAGGGAAGCCACTAAAGCTCTTACCCAGTCGTAATTCCAAAACTCCAAGGGATTAATTGAGGGCGTGCAAGCTGGCTCGAACACCTTTGGTGATAAAAAAAAAAAAATCATATTCATAAATCTAAACCACTTTTGCATGCATCAAGTTATTGGTCATCGAACAATAGAATTTTCATTTAGAAACAAATATAATGTTCTTCACTATTTTTTTTTTTTTTTTTTTGGGTAATTAGTTTGTATAACTTTTGATATTGGTGGTGTCCATGTCAGCTTATACGACCTCAACTAATCTTCGAAGACTCTAAAACTATCGGCTGATAAGAGCTCCAATGACTACCCTATTAGCAACTGGAGAATGACTCAAACTCTTGATAATATATCAAAAAATCCTATCGAACCACTCGTCATCTAGAGATAGTTTTTGTCTTCTCATTTGAATATCCTGATATTATTTTTATTATAGCTATATTATAATTTTAACAAAGCTGGTGAAATTCGACTTATCCTTATACTAACCGCGGTCTCAATCTCATTGTAGTGAGATTAGTTATAATTTAGATACTGGGGTTTGGACAAAATTTTATACTTTAATCACAATACATAATGTCTAATCTAGTCATTGTCAATTTTAAGTAACCAAATCCTCCCAAAAAATTATAGGATGGGTCATTTTCACGTCTCTTGGTTTCAGTAGATATAATACTGTGCTTT